GAGGTCTTCAGCTAACTCATGGGATCCATTCCACATCCCACAGATGCTCATTATGAATTCTTTTTATGTGCAACATGTGGGGACTAACCAGTTTCATATCTCCTGGTATTAGTTGCAATCCAAAGCATTTTGTATTAAAACAGAATGCAAACACAGATGCTATTTAATACAAAGAATTTGAATGCAGTCTCTGTTTTAACATCAAGTTAGTGCGTTTTAATTTGGTTCGGAGCAGAAATGCAAAGAAAAGTCAAGATGAGAGGATACCGTTAGATGAGGAGCCAAGCTGAGATTCCAGGAGGCACACATGGGAAAAAGAGAGATGGGGCCAGGTGACAGCTCTAATTTATGGAAGCGGAGGATAAGGTGCCCTCAGGGCGGCGGGGCCTCTGCAGCACCGCGCACGCAGAGACACTCCCAGCGTCCCGTCCCATGCCGGAGCTCTGTGAGCCGCTCTTCCCCGGCCTACAGCCGGCAGCGGGCTGATGCGGTGCAAGGTGCACTGCCGCGCGCCTGGCTCGCAATGTCCCCTCGCTGCTCAGCAAAGTGCACGGCAACGCACTTTTCGCTCCGGCACGCAGCAGAACGGAGCTACAGGTCCGTGGTTCGGGAGCGCCCCGACGCGCCGGGAGATCCGCTGGGACCCTCCTGCGGGAAGGGCCCTCATGTCGCCCTTCCCTCGCCCCCGGGGCGCGCTGCGGGCCCGCAGTTCCCGGCTGGGGTGCCCCCCGACCAGGGCCCGGGAGAAGAGCGCGGGCGGGGAGGCGGCGGCTCAAAGGCGCCGAGCCCGCTCTTCCCGAGGGGCGGCCGGGGAGGAGGCGTGGGGCTCGGCGCGGTGAGTGCCGCCTGCGGAGGGTTTTGCGCGGTGTGATCGGTGCGCTCACGCACGGCGCACACCTTACAAGTTTGAGCGGCAATAACATTGCTGCACACTAGGAGGGGAGGAGAGTCAGCTCCCTATAATAGGAACAAACTCCGCCGTTGCACAAAAGCGGCGCGTTTTCTCGCTCGAGAAAATCGTCCCTTCAGAGAGAAAGGGGAGTGGGGGTGGGGAGGGGGGCAAGCGGGGGAAGCAAAAGCAAAAGCAAGTTACCAAGAGCGAGAACTCGCGCAGCAACCATCCGCCGCTCTTCCTCCTCTCCTCAGGACCGGAGCGGGGCTCTCCCCCTCCCCCCTGGCGCGGGCCCAGCCGCGCTCCGCCGCCTTTCTTATTACTTCATTGAGCCCGAGCGATCCTTGGAGGATCGCTCGGGCTCAATGAAGTAATAAGAAAGGCGGCGGAGCGCGGCTGGGCCCGCGCCAGGGGGGAGGGGGAGGGGAAGGTGGAGGGACGAGGAGGAGGGAAAAAGGCAACATTCGCTGCTCATCATTTCCACCGCACCGCCAAAGTAACTGCGCCCCCCTCTCCTCCCGTCCCTCAGTCTGGATTTTCTCTGTATCCACAGCCGCCGTGCTGTTAGCCGTAGCTTTTTCTTTCTTTTTTTAATTTAGGATTTTTTTATTATTATTATTATTTTTTTTTTAGCTCTGCTCCCCTCCCCCCAACCCCTTCGCAGCCCGGCATCGTCCCCCCTCACCCCGAGCCCCCCCAGCCCCTTTCCATTTCGCCCGGCAGCTCACATCAAAGCGCCCTGCCTCACTCCCAGCGGCCGCCACTCACTAATGGGATTGCAGCGTGCCCGGCTCCGCCGCTGCAGCCGCCGGAGGGAGAGCCGCTGCCGCTGCGCCTCTTCGCCGAGAGCCGCCGGGTGCTGAGCCGCGGGGATGATCAGGATCTTCCCGGATTTCAGCGTGCAGGTGACGGCGGCGGCCGGCGGGGCGGCCGGGGGGGTGCCGGCGGCGCCGGGCATGGGGCGAGCCGGAGCGGCGGCCAACGGGAACCCGCAGAACGTGCAGGGCATCACCTCGTACCAACAACGGTGAGCAGCGGGCGGGAGCGGGCGCGCGGCTCTTTCCGGGGCTCCCCCACTTGCTTTTTCTTTGTGCTTTTGTGTTTCTTTGTTTTCTCTTTTTTTCTTTTCATATATAAAAAAAATATTGCCGTTTGATTGTTGGGGGGGGTAGCTTGGTGGGAGGGAAGAGTTTTTCCTTCCCGCTTCCTTTTCATTTTTAATATAGCATCTTTTAAAATGCACTGAGAAGTAAACGCAATCTCCCAGTTTTTTCTCGGATGAACTGGAAAGCAACAATAGCTGGGGAAAAAAAAAAAAAAAAAAAAAAAAAAAAAAAAAAAAACCCACGAAAGAAAAGAAAAAACTGCGAGGAGCACGGTCGCTAGCGTGGCCGCTGCAAAGTTTGGGATCCCGTCCACTCATCCTTTCTAAAGAGGAATTTCTCAATGTCAATGCCTTGTGCAGCTCCCAGTGTGTGGCAGCCAGGGGGACAATTGATCCCGGGATGCCGATTGAGAATTTGCTTTCAAGCAAGAAAGAGACCAATATTCACTTGGGGTTGCACACTTGCAATTCCACACTGTAGGTTAACAGCTTTACTGTGTCACCTGTTACTACAGGGAAATGCAGCACGAAACCCTCAGCACTGCTATTATTATATATATTTTTTTCCAACCTAAACGCATTCTGATGCAAATGCAGGGAATTCTCAGGGTAGGCGCCGTTAGGAAGTGGAGCGCACAAAGTTGGCAGGAACTCGCAGCGAAGTTCAGAGGGGTTCCCATCGTCCCAGTCAGCCCCGCTCCGCGCCGGCACTGCCTGAGTTCACTGCGGGCTGAGGTCGGGGTCCCGCAGTGCTGTGCAGGGCGAGACCCGGAGTGGAGCTCCGGGAGGGTCCTCCATCAGCTCAGGAGCGAAGCGGAGTGCTCACAAAAGTACTGACAACACCTCAATGTAGGCTGAGATCGGAGCGAGACACCTTCTACTAAATGCAATAATGTCCCAACGATCTGGCTTTTCAATACTACATAAATCCTGAGAAAAAATGCAGTGTAATAACAAATACTTCAGCTAAATCTCTCTATAATGTAGAAGCTAAAACCATAGAAACTTTTAATGTTGTATTTCAAACAAATGTTTTAGAAGCCTGACAGAGCAGTGCCTGCTTTGGTCTTCAGCAACTTTGGGCTCCCCTCTCTCACTTTGGGAAACACACACTGTGTTTTCCCTCTGATGCCCATGACAGAAAATGCTCGGTGTTAACTTCTGTGGGTTTTATTAAAGGGAAAGGCACGAGCACTAATATTCTGCAACAGCCCCTGTGCTGCCCCACCACCTCCTTAGAATCATTTGAACAAAGTCTGAGTCCTTCTTTGCCACCAACCGTCCCCATACACAGTGTCTTGGCCGGGAGAAAGGGAAGGAGCGGATTAAAGTTGGTTTGTTTTCACGGTTTCGCTATGATTTTTGTCACTTACAAAATCTTTAAATTACAATGGAAACTGATGGGCATTTTAACGAGGAAGTACGGGCAGCGATCACAATAGTTGAGGCTGTGAAGTGGGGAAGTCAGGGGTCAGAAATGTCACATTGGCTTTAAGACAAATAAAAGGGACCTCTGGAGACTTTAAGTTAAACAGAAATATACAGATGAGCAGCGTGCGAATTTGTAGTGCTCGGCGTTTGGGAGTTGAGTTGCGTCAGGTTCCGACCAGGGGTAGCTCCAAGGGCAAAGCTCTGCCAAAACAGTGACGGCCCCGGGCCAGGTGCGGCCCCGCAGCAGCGGCCGCTCGGACCCCACAGCACGCTGGGTGTCTCGGGAACATTCTGCGCTTCTTCCAAATTGTAACTATTACCGACACGACGGCGTCCTCTACATTGAACGATTTTTTCTCCGAGCTTTCTGGAAAAGCTTAAATCACAGTGGGCACCTACACCTCCTTCCGCGATTGCACAAACCGAGGTGACACCTGTTAACTTTTTTTTATTATTTTTTTTCCTCCTTGTTGGAGCCGAGGCAGAAGCCGTGCGCGGAGGAGCCGGCACGTGGCACCCGCAGCCCCCTCTCTCCGCGCCCCTCCGGCACCGTCCCCGGGCTCGCGGCCCCGCTCCCGCCGGCGGTGCGTACCTGCGCGCCTTTCCCTGAGCTGCGGACCCACAGTCGCTGCTCTGCCGGCCCGTTCCCCGCCGCCCCCGGAGCTGCCGCGGGGAGGTGTCCCGTGAGGGTGCCGGGCTGATCCTTACCCGGGAACCCGCCGAGGGGTCAGGCCCGGAGCGCTACACTGCAGGGCAGCGGCAAGAAGTAGCCACAAAGTTACCGCGGGGATGGAGAGCTTGTAGCTTTCTCCTATCCAGGTGTACTGGATGAGACAATTGGGACAGCGGTTCCGTTTTCTTGCTCCTTAATTTCCTGCTTACTTTCACAGTCCGCAGTGAAACTGCGCACAGCAATGCATCCTCCCAGCAAAAAGGGGCACCTCCCGGCTACCCTTAGCGCTGCGTCCCATTGCTCGGCCCCGGAGGGAGGGGGGTCTGGGGGCCTGCTCGGTGCCAGACCCCCGTCAGCTCCCGGTCCGCCGGGGGCCGCGGAGTGAGCCCGTGGGGTTTCCGCGCCCACGGAGATCTCTCGCCTCCCCGCCCTCAGCACCTCTCTCCGCCGGAGCCGCGACTCCGGAGGAGGAAAGTGTGCGAAACTGCAACTGAGTGGCGGTGTTGCGCCGGCAGCGGAGGCTGCGTCCCCTGCACGCAGAGCGGGAGCGGAGTCGGGGAAGCAGCTGGAAAATGCCCAGAAATACTTTCACAGCGGTCAAGCGCGGAGATCCCCGCCTGCCCTCCTTTCCGCCCCCGCCCCGCTAGCCCAGCGGCCCGGCACCCTCGTAGCCCGGCCCAAGGGCGCGGGGCCGCGAGTGTGAGCGTGTGAGCGGCTGCGTTGTGTGTGTGCGCGCGTGTGTGCGTGGCCGTGCCGCACCTGCCGGGCGATGCCAGCGGCCGGGCTGCCCGCCGGGGCTGCGCCGCGGCTCGCTCTTCCCGCCGTCGCCGGCCGCCGCCGCCCGCGCTGGGCATGTCTCTGGGGCCGCCGGGGCCCCGGTTCCCTCCACTCCTCGGCTTATGGACGGCGGCAGCGGCAGCAGCAGCAGCGCTAGCGAGCGAGCGAGCGAGCAACCTGCAGAAGGACCGCGCGGAGGAGCGGGAGCCCGCTATGCTTTGGCCTCAGTACTTTTCCTTAGCCCGTCTGGCTAAGCAGGGCCACCGCTGCCGCTGCTAGACACACAACACACACCAACATCAGGAGGGGGAAAAGTAAGGGAGAGAAAGAAAAAAAAAAAAAAAACACCGGGGAGGGGGCGCCCCCCAGCCCAGGTTCCCAGCGGGACCCTCCAGGGGAGAACGGTAACACTTTCTCTTTATTGAACCTGCAGCAGCAGCCGCAGCCGCAGCAGCACCGGGCCGCGCCGCCGCCGGGGCCGGGGCTGGCTGCCATGGCGGGGGGGGGGGACGCCGCCGGCACCGCCGCTCGCCCCGCCGGGCGCCGCGAGTTCCTCCGAGTGCGCCGCCGCACCCCGCGTCGCCACCGCCGCGCACGCACCGCCGCACCAACACAGGGCGGCCGGCGGCAGCCCCGCTCCGTAGCCCTATCGCCACGGCTCGCAGCGGCCGCCGCTCGGCAGGGCGCGTTGGCGAGCGGGTGTGCGTGTCTGCGTGTGTGTGTGTGCGCGGAGCCCCCCCCCCGGGGGGGCCCCCCCCCCCGGGGGGCCCCGGGGGGGGGGGGGGGGGGTGGGAGGGGGGGAGCGGGGCGCCGCGCCAGGCCCGGCTTGCCGGAGTGGAGGGGCCGGCCCCGCCTGTGCCGTTCAAGTGCAGCTAGGCCGGAGCGGGGGGGCCGCGCCGCCGACGGCCCCCGCGGCGCGGCCCGGCCCAGCCCCGCTGCAGCCCGGAGGGTTCCGGCGCTCCTCGGGGCAGGCGGAGCGGTGCCGGGGCGCGAGCGGGCGGGAGGCGGGCGCGGCGGCTCCATCCGGCCGCCTCTGGGACTTTTGTTGGGGAGAGCGCTCGCTGTGAACGCGCTGCCCTGCTGACAAGGATCTCCCATAGCGGATCTGTTGTAGCGAAGTGAATCCTTCTAGAAGTGACCAGGAAGAAACAAGAGTGCAAGTTCATGTGATGTTACTTTGTGCTCCTTAAAAAAGTGCTCCA